ACTTATACCTCACCCATCTGGCTGGGTTTCCCCAGCCACTCTGGGCAGCTCCCAACAGAATATTAAAAACACAATCAAACATCAAACATTAAAAACATCCCTAAATTGGGCTGCCTTCAGATGTCTTCTAAAAGTTAGATAGTTGCTTATTTCCTTGACATCTGAGGGGAGGGCGTTCCACTGGGTGGGCGCCACTACCGAGAAGGCCCTCTGCCTGGTTCCCTGTAACCTCACTTCTCGTAGGGAGGGAACCGCCAGAAGGCCCTTGGAGCTGGAGAAGCTCCTTCAGGTATACTGGGCCGAGGCCGTTTAGGGCTTTAAAGGTCAGCACCAAGACCTTGAATTGTGCTTGGAAATGTACTGGGAGCCAATGTAGGTCTTTCAGGACTGGTGTTATGTGGTCTCCGCAGCCACTCCCAGTCACCAGTCTAGCTGCCACATTCTGGATTAATTGTAGTTTCCGGGTCACCTTCAAAGGTAACCCCACGTAGAGTGCATTGCAGTAGTCCAAGCAGGAGATAACGAAAGCATGCACCACTCTGGTGAGACTGTCTGCAAGCAGGTAGGGTCTAAGCCTGTCTAACAGATGGAGCTGGTAGACAGCTGCCCTGGGCACAGAACGAAGAGGACAAAAGACATTTGCTAAGGACATGCTGAGGCTGGATCGGAGGAAGGTACAAGTCTGGTGCAAAGAAAACATGGAAGAGAGCTTTCTTTTCGTTCAGGGAATCAAAAGTTATCATGTCGGCTGCTCATTTTGAAATTGACTATCCCTTCCATAGGTTCCTGGCTGGGCTTGGACAAAATAGTTTGAAATTCAGATAAACTTAGAATCAAGTTGCATAGGCAGTTTTCAGGCAGCATCCTAAGCTATGGCTTCAAAAAAGTTTTAACCCTCTGTGAACCACACCAAGAAGCAAGTGTGGACCTTACATTTCCTTGTGCACCTTATTCTTATTTCTATGTCTACAAAAATATCCCTATCTTGAGTTTTTTGTTGTTGTTGACATGTGAAAGTATTGATTTTCACCATGTATTTATTTATTACTCATTAGTCACCTATTTGCCTACTCCTCTAGGTGATGTGCAACAATCTGAATCTAATTAATTATATTCCAGTATTTGAATCTAATAAATTAATTAGTGGCAGAATTGTTTAACAGCAGATGATTAATCAGCTACAATTATTTAATCAGCTTGCAGACCTCCTCCTGACACCTCAGAGAAGTTTGTTTGATTTACAGCTATTGAGCAACCACAATCCCCAATAGAAAAGGGTAATTTGGCAATCAGAAAATCCAGGTAAACGGAATACCTTCTGCTGAATTTCACTGTGTGATTTGCAGCAATGAGAACCTTATGTCACTCTGGATTTCTTATTCCAATGGACCTAAAGGCTGTGGCAGCAAACCCTGCACTTGCCTACTTTGTTGTTGTTTAGTCATTTAGTCGTGTCCGACTCTTTGTGACCCCATGGACCAGAGCATGCCAGGCACTTCTGTCTTCCACTGCCTCCCGCAGTTTAGTCAAACTCATGCTGGTAGCTTCGAGAACGCTGTCCAACCATCTCGTCCTCTGTCGTCCCCCTCTCCTTGTGCCCTCAATCTTTCCCAACATCAGGGTCTTTTCCAGGGAGTCTTCTCTTCTCATGAGGTGGCCAAAGTATTGGAGTCTCAGCTTCAGGATCTGTCCTTCCAGTGAGCACTCAGGGCTGATTTCCTTAAGAATGGATACGTTTGATCTTCTTGCAGTCCATGGGACTCTCAAGAGTTTCCTCCAGCACCATAATTCAAAAGCATCAATTCTTCGGCGATCAGCCTTCTTTATGGTCCAGCTCTCACTTCCATACATCACTGCTGGTAAAACTATAGCTTTAACTATACGGACCTTTGTTGGCAAGGTGATGTACCTGGAAGTAAATCCCATTTAGATGAGCAAAACTGATTTGTCAATAATCATCCACAGAAACAGGCTACAGATATGAAAGATGTTAGCTACTTCATAACCTAGCATTAGAGCAATGCAATATTGCACCATTAAAGGGTAAATGATTGCTGGAATTCCTTGACTAGTTCCCATTGGGGCAAAGGATGGACAGAACTGTATGCACCCCATGGCCTGCCTTGCACCTCCTAATCTAGATTGTTGCCTCAAGTATGGTGGGGGACTCTGTCCTATAGCCAGTGTTGAAGCACCATGGCTAGCCCTGACCTGGGGCCAGACATCAAATCCTTGGAGGACTGGTTGACCCCACAGGTCAACCTTCAGCAGCACATAGGACCCTCTGAATCCATTGCTGAGGGTCCCCTTGAGGGGCTCTCTGGGTTGATACCTGAGACTCCTGGAACTATCAGATAAGGAGGTGAGATCCTTGAGAGTCCATGTGGAAAAATATCTGGGTGCAGATCAAAGAACAACAACACAATGTGTGTGTATGGTCTACTCATGATCTCCAATCCCTGCTACCCCCTCACTGCTGGTGACTATGGTTAGGGAATGGCTTAAAGACCAGAGTACAGTCATACCTCATGTTACGTTTGCTTCATGTTATGTTTTTTCAGGTTGCGTCCTGCAGCGACCCGGAAGTACCGGAAGGGTTACTTCTGGGTTTCACCGCTCGCACATGCGCACAAGCGCCAAATCACGCTGCGTACCTGTGCAGATACAGCACTTCAGGTTGCGGGCTTTTCATGTTGCAAACGGGCCTCTGTAACGGAGGTATCACTGTATATAAGGCCTCTCTTGTCAGCTGCCTGGCTACTGCAAACTACACGCTTCCTGTGTACTGGGTCATTGTTCAATATCGATATGTAACCATACCATGTGAGCAACTAAATTTCTTAATGGCAACACTTGGAGAGAGAAGTCACTATGACTTATAGTTACCATGCACCTTGAAACTTCTAGCTATCTTTTTTTTGGTGTATAATTTTTATTAAGTTTTCTATTTTACAATTTAAAATATTCATTAAACAACCTTAACAATGACTTCCCTTCTTCTCTTTCTATGGTTCAATTTGCATAGTGGTAAATCCCTGCATATTTTACATAAATTAAAAAATTCAGTGTTCCATTATTACATCCATCAAAACATGTTTACACTGTTGAATTTATCTTAATGCTGCCAATGTTTTCAAGTGTACAAATCCCCCCAATATATTCAATAAACATTTCCCAATCTTCTTTAAACATATGTTCTTCTTGTTCTCTTATTCTATACGTTAGGTCCTCAAGCTGCGCATATTCCATCAGTTTAAGTTTCCATTCCTCTTTAGTTGGGACCTCATTCATTTTCCATTTTTGGACCAAAAAACACGGGCCGTCATAGCGGCATACATAAATAGCCTTTTTTGACACCTAGGAATTTCCGTCTGAATTATCCCCAACTGAAAGGACCCTGGTTTTTTTGAAAAGTACTTTTAAACATTTTTTTCAATTCATTATAAATTATTTCACAATACTCTTTTACCCTTTTGCAGGTCCACCACACATGAAAGAACTTATGTACCCTCAAGGGTACGAGCCTTCTAGCTATCACTGAGCATTTGCCTTCCTGATTCCATGGAAAAAAGCTTCCCCAAGTTCATTGGCAATTACTCATAGTAAGTATGGATTGGCTGACCACCAAAGTTACCATACCTGTGAACTGCAAAAATATTCTCTGTTTCAATATAATAATAATAATAATAATAATAATAATAATAATAATAATAATATATTTGTACCCTGCCCATCTAACTGGGTTGCCCCAGCCACTCTGGGCGGCTTCCAACATATATAAACATGTAATAAAACATTACACATTAAAAACATCCCTAAACAGGGCTGTCTTCAAATGTCTTCTAAAAGTCAGATAGTTGTTTATTTCCTTGACATCTGATGGGAGGGTGTTCCACAGGGTGGGTGCCATTACCGAGAGGCCCTCTGCCTGGTTCCCTATAACCTCACTTCTTGCAGTGAGGGAACCACCAGAAGGCCCTTGGAGCTGGACCTTACTGTCCGGGCTGAACGATGGGGGTGGAGATGCTCCTTCAGGTATACTGGGTTGAGGCCGTTTAGGACTTTAAATGTTGCCTGTGTGTGTAAGTCTTGAGGAACCCAGTGGGATATACTAGCAGTAAAAGCTCAGCCTATAGAAAGATGCAGGAAGAGGATAAGGATCAACAAATATTTGCTTTGACAAATATATTTGTCCATGAGTCAAAGGCAAGGAAATGAAAGAATCATGTGCCAAGGGCACTTTCATGAAGCCCTAGGATATTCAGGCTTTCTCCCACTCCTTGGATCATAATGAAAGCATGATCTGAGGTTCCAAAGTATTGCTTTTCAACAGCTCCATTAATAGACCTCTGGAAATAAAGTGCCGGTAAAAGCCAAGATAGAGGATTGTGAATACTCAACAGAACATGTTTCTTCCTTTGAGACTGCAGATGTGTGATAGCTGTGAAGACAAATAATCACTTTTCAGGAGAGTTCAGGACTAAGAGGCCACCTTAAATCAACACCATGCTTTGAGATAACTTAGGGTTGCCATATTTCAAAAAGTGAAAATCCGCACACAAAAGTTGTTTTTAAGGAAAACTGCCAAAATCTACACTTCTGACATGGGCTGACATACATCCAGATGTTATCTTCCATGACATTTGCTGGAATCTAATCAGGGTGAAAACCTTTGTCGGTTGAAATTTCTTCAGTCTAAATACTTTCTAGGGCTGTGTTGAAACCTAATCACCCGTTACCAAGGAACCACTGTCAAATAAGACAATGAATATATATCCTGCTGAATGAATGTATCCGTTTTAGCCACTGACAGCCTCATGCTTATGAAGTAATAGAAAAGCCGTAAGATTGACTGTCGGGTCTTTGATGCCCAGCAAATCTGTTCAGCAGAATTTAGTTGTAATTGTGCATTGCTAGAGGAAGCAAAATAAATTCCAGGCAAGCAGAAGCTAGAGCCATCTATGCATCTGCCTTCCCTCAGCTTCTCCACAACCAGACAACCAAGAAGAATTATTACAGCTGATGGACACTTTCTAGCTAGACCAAAAAAAGCATTTGATAAGGCCATTGGGTGGAGCCAATGAGGGGCTGGCTTGTGGAGTGTCAGGGACTGGCTGGATGAGGAGGAATGGTGGGAGGCTACAGCTGGGGACCCCCCCCAGAGAAGCATCAGAGTGGGAAGGCTCCGAGCCAGGAGAATAGTGGTGGGATACAGAAGACAGGTTAGAGGAATAGGCTGGGGGCAGATGGGTGGGACGCTGAGCAAGCGACAGGAATGAATGACACTGAGGCAGAGGAGGATGAGGCTTTGACAGATTGCCAGCAACCTGTCAGTTCCACTGTTCTCCTCTCCCCTCCTCCTTTGTCCTCAAGAACGAGAAGGGTGTTACATGTGATGGCCTGGGACTCGGGCTCGGACTCGGAACCAGAGGAGTCTTAGTCCGCACTGGACTTTGCCTCAGGCGGCATCTGAACCAAGTCTGGGGCCTGATTCTGAAGAGCCCCAGTCTGCACAGGCTCCCCTGCAACAAGCACCAGCTGGGCCGAGTTAGGGGCCTGAGCCTGCCCTGGCTCCAGATGCGGAGATTACCTCATTGCCTTTAGCTGGCAATCACTTACAGCTGCTCCACTACCATTTGGGTCAGGAGAGGCTGAGGCGGCCTCTGGGTCTAGTAACCCACTGACATCTCCTGAGCTGCAGAGACTAAGGGCTGAGAGAAGGAGAGACATGAGTACTTGCAGGAGGAGTGCTCACCTTTGGGCAAGACAGGGAGGTGAGTCACTGGGGGGATCAGGACTGGCCATTACCCCGACAAAGATAAAAGGCTGTTGGACCCTGCCCCAGGTTGTGGGAGCAACATTGCTGTTTGCCAGAATCTAACTGAGATCCTGTGCCTGACCTTGCCCGGTTTTCTGCCTTGTGTCCCACCTTGGCCCTGTCGGACTGACTCCTCACAGAACCCTTGGATTTGGGACCGGACCTGGACCGCATTACTCAGGTTGCCCCAGGGCCCAGCACACTACATTTAGCAGAATTAGAGCCCATCCTCAAAGGAGTTTGCAACTGTTGGGAAGGCAGCAAGCTGGGAACGAGTCTTGTGAGAGCCAGTGTGGTGTAGTGGTTCAGAACGGTAGACTCGTAATCTGGTGAACCGGGTTCGCGTCTCTGCTCCTCCACATGCAGCTGCTGGGTGACCTTGGGCCAGTCACACTTCTCTGAAGTCTCTCAGCCCCACTCACCTCACAGAGTGTTTGTTGTGGGGAAGGAAGGGAAAGGAGATTGTTAGCCGCTTTGAGACTCCTTCAGGTAGTGATAAAGCGGGATATCAAATCCAAACTCTTCTTCTTAGGAGGAAGCGGGAGGCTCAGATTCTCATTCTTATTCTGGAGAATATGGTTAAGAAACTTCAGAGGCTGAAGCAGCAACATCAGCGGGTCTTTGGATACAGCTGTCCTATTTCTTAAGGTTTGACACATTTGCCTCATTTCAAAAAGTAAAAACCAGGAAACCCCCCCTCAAAAAACTGTTGAGAATTTTGGAGTTTTGGAGCTTTCTTAAAGGCATTTCTGGCACCATTTAACCCCCGTTGCCAATTTCCCAGGACATTTGCCTGATTTCCGAAAAATAATCCAGGATGCCATTTTTCGAGGCAAATTCTAGGACATGTCCCGGAAAATCAGGACATATGGCAGCCCTACTCATGTTCAAGCAATTTCCATGGCTCCTAGCGCATCTAATTTGTTGTGCAGTTGTCGGGCATTTTCCAAGTCCCTCCATGTAATTTTCACTCAAACCTTTTTCCATTTCAGGGCCTGTTTAGGTCACTACGCATACTGGTCTGATTCTCTGATTCTCTGATCTCTCGAGCTTTAGCCATGTACATTTTCTAAGCGCAAAAAATAAATAAATCCTTCTGCCACTAGTCTCCCAATGCTGAATTTTCAGGGAAGGATCTCTGCTGATGTCAAAAAAACAGATTCATGAAATCCGCTAGAATTCAGTGGTTGTTTGGAAAAGTTAACTTGGCTCCAGTTTTTCCTCGCATTCTGTGCAGCTCTTTCAGATTTGCGATTTTCAGAACATTTCGCTCTGAGGGAGACTGTCTAACTGGTTTGCCTACCATGTGGGAAGATTCTAGAAGAGTAAATGAGTAGAAGGAGTTGCCTTCCTGGTCACTGTGCGTCTCCGTGTGAAATCAAGCCACTCAGTTTCAGCTGCCAAAAAAGGTTACATTTTAAAAGGTGGGTTTTTAAAAAATGAGGCAGAGCTCAGGCAAGTGATAGCATTCAGAGCCCCAGGGATGCCAAGTCCCCATAACCTGTCCAAGTGGTATACCGGGTCTAAAACTGATGCTAGTGCATATATTGATCTCTTCAGTACATCTGGTAATGGTCCAGAAAATTGAATGAAGGTACACAAAGACATTGTATCTGTGAAACTACAAAGGTTTGGCTTCCTAAGCTTCCTAGATATGTACCATATTTCTCGCTCTATAGGACGCACTTTTCCCCCTCCAAAAATTAAGGGGAAATGTGTGTGAGTCCTATGGAGCGAATGCAGGCTCCTTGGCTTCAGCGATAGCAATGCAAAGCCTCCGAAGCGCAGAGGCAGAGCTCCTCCCGTGCTCCGGAGGCTTTGCGTTGCTTTTGCTGAAGCTGCCTGAAGCCCCCGGAGTGCAGCAGGAACTCCCGCTGCGCTCCAGGGGCTTCAGGCAGCTATCCGCGCTCCGAAGGCTTGCGGATAGCCGCCTGAAGCCTGGAGAGCGAGAGGGGTCGGTGCAAACCGAACCCTCTTGCTCTCCAGGCTTCACTTCGCTGGAGAGGCGCTGCACAGTTTTCCCTCTCTGCGCAGCGCCCCTTCAGCGAAGTGGGAGAAATGGAAGGGGCTCCGTTTCTCCTACCGCTTCGCTGAAGGGGCGCTGAACAGAGAGGGGGAGAATTTTTTTCCCCTGTTCTCCCCCTCCTATGGTCCAGTGTGTCCTATAGAGCGAAAAATACAGTAATTTGCTTAGCGCTTTTGGGGTTAGAGATCTCAATGCAATAAATTAATGAATGAAGAATGGCTTTGGGGGAGAAACACTGATAATTCTCTGACCTCCCCACCACCACCCCAGATATAAACCTCTGAAAACTCTTGGCACAGCAGACCAGCCACCATGTGTAATTATGAAATATTTGTTATTGAGTTGACTCCACGCAGAGCAGACTTACTGAAATTAATGGATCTAAGTTAGCCATGTCAGTTAATTTTGATGGGTTTTCTCTGAGCAGGCTTAACACTGGACACATCTCCTTTATCTTTGTATTTTATTGCTCTGCCCTAATAAACGGCAAGCTTTCTCCATCAGCTATATGATCAGACTCTGCCCTCCTGACTCTTGGCACAGGAAAACATAAACCAGAAGAAAGACTCGGATGTCCAAATAAATCTTTTTGCCATCTGTTGCGATCGAAAGAGACAAGAAGAGAAGCAAGCAAAGCCAAGTAGCAACGTGAGTCCTACTGGCTATTCCGGGAACACAAAAAGATTCTGAAAAGCTATAATGCTGCTTTTCAATAGGCCTCTGAATTAATCCCTTCTGGCCACTAAATAGCTGTTGCAAAAGAGGAAAAAAGAAAAACTGGCAACATACCTATCCAAAGTAAGGTTCCTTTCTGTGTGTGCATTTCGGAAGAATGAGACTGACCACAAAAGACACATAAATAATTCCGTGGCGCACAGTGGGACCTGGCTGGCAAACCAGCCCTTAGCTTTCTCCCTCTTTTTCATTACTATATAAAAACGTCTCTCATTCTAAGAGTGTTGCTTACACAAATTGTTTTCTAGAACTCTCCATAGAGCAGCTTTGGCCTTAACACTGCAAAGCATCTAGTTTCAGTATCCTGAGAGGAGTATGAAAAAGAATGCTCTAGATCAGGGATGAGCAACCTGTGGCCCTCTAGAAGTTGATGGACTACAACTCCCATCAAAATTGACGGCAGAAATAAGAGACCCACAGGAAAAAATCAGAGACCCTTTCTGGACTATCTGAGAAACTATTATAGTCAAATGAAATTGCAGGCAGGAGTGGAAATTCAGTGATATCTCAGTACTTGAACGTAATACGTTCTGGAAGGCCATTCGACTTCTGAAACATTCAAAAACCAAGGCGCAAAGGGCTGGCTGCAAGTTCAATTGAAAAAATTGGGGAAAAACACAGCGGAAGTCGTTTGACTTCCGAGGTGCGTTCAAAAATTGAAGCAATTACTTCCGGGGTTTGGGATTTGGAAAACCGAAATGTTCAGCTTCCGAGATGCTTGAAAACTGAGGTACTGCTGTATAAGCAAAGGAATGAGAAAGATAAAAGGAATGTAATGTAGGATATACGTGACAGAAATATGAATTACATTTAAGGCAGGTGAGAAAGGATTTGAACAGAAACATCATGGAAGGAAGAATGGGAAGTCAAAATGTTAAGGGACTATTGCATTGAAACTTAATTGAATTTGTTAAATTGCATGAAAATCAATAAAAATTTAAAGCGGGGGGGGTGGGGGGGACAGTTTCCATCATTCCTGACCAGCTGGCAACACTGAATGTAGGAAGGAATATTTGCCAAGGTTAAGACTTGGGTCAACAGTCAAAGCTGAATGATCCTACTTTGTGAACTAGAGAAAGGTTATTTTCAGGACTGCCAGATATTTGGCAGTAGCAAAACATGAGGATAAGGTTTGTACAAATGTGGGCTGCAGATGATGATCTCATCACTTTGGTCTGTATTACCATATCTCTTCTCCCAAGCTCTTAATTAATTTTGACAGATTTTATTACGTTTTTTAAAATGAAAGTAATAATGTCTTGTATGACCAGCATTGAGCATGTGTTATGCCAAAGTCCTTATGACCTCATCTCTTAAAGTATAAATCGATACTGACAATGCTATAAAATTAACCTTCACATATGTGAAGTCTGAAGGAGGTTTGCCAACTTCTTACTGGGACTTGAAGAGCGCTGGGATCTTCAGAGAGTAGCAAACCATGCTAATCATCTTCTTGCCAAGCAAAAACCCACATACAGATTTCTGAAGGTCTCCTGCTGCTAAAAGGCACAGGATCAGGCCGAGCTGTTCCTTGCACCCCCAGTCTGGTCAGTTGAAAATGCAAGTCTGAAAAGAGCTGATGGGAAAAAGATATTAAGAAATGTAATTAGCTGGAAGGGAGGGGGATTTGCAAGTGTGCTGAGGACATTTCTGTCTGCATGGGCACTGCTTTCTCTTTGGAGAAATGTTGAAGGGTATGCTTTAATATATAAGGGTGCACATATGTAGGGTTGCCACGTGTCCTCTTTTTCCAGGACACGTCCTCTTTTTCAGGGGAAAAATTTCTGTCCGGTTGGATTTTTTTAATTTGCCAAAATGTCTCTGGCTTTACTTTCTGGATGAGACATAGACACAACTGGTGGTTGAAGACTTACTTTCCTCTTCCCTTTTCCTGCCCCGCCCCCAGCAATATATCACAGCTTCTATAGCCTACATATAGTAGGTAAAGGTAAAGGGACCCCTGACCATTAGGTCCAGTCGTGACTGACTCTGGGGTTGTGGCGCTCATCTTGCTTTATTGCCCGAGGGAGCCGGCGTACAGCTTCCGGATCATGTGGCCAGCATGACTCAGCCGCTTCTGGCGAACCAGAGCAGCACACGGAAACGCCGTTTACATTCCCACCAGAGCAGTACCTATTTATTTACTTGCACTGGCGTGCTTTCGAACTGCTAGGTTGGCAGGATCAGGGACCGAGCAACGGGAGCTCACCCCGTCGCGGGGATTCGAACCACCGACCTTCTGATCGGCAAGCCCTAGGCTCTGTGGTTTAACCCACAGCGCCACCTGCGTCCCTATGCAATGTTTGCAAGCCTCCCATTTTTCAACAGGTATTTAAAATGAGAATCGTCATAGCATCCTCCTTTTTTTGCTCTTCAAAATATGGCAACCCTACATATGTTTATTGCAGATGACCTTTGTAAACCACAGCAAAGGTCCCGTTTTAACACCATGAGCTTATCAAAAAAATTGCATTTGGGGTATTAGTCTTTTGTTTTCAGATTTCTGGGCTTCCAAGCTGTAAAAACCTAAGAGATCCTATTGAAACTAATCTTACACATACAGTGGTATCTCGAGTTAAGTACTTAATTCGTTCTGGAGGTCTGCTCTTAACCTGAAACTGTTCTTAACCTGAAGCACCACTTTAACTAGTGGGGCCTCCTGCTGCTGCTGTGCCGCCAGAGCATGATTTCTGTTCTCATCCTGAAGCAAAGTTCTTAACCCGAGGTACTATTTCTGGGTTAGTGGAGTCTGCAACCTGAAGCATATGTAACCTGAAGCATATATAACCCGAGGTACCACTGTATAACACATACACCCTGTTAAAGTCCACATGGTCCATCTTTAAAATATATTTGCTGTGCAATTTCATGTAGACTGGTCCCTCTCTCTTGGGGAGAGTAACAACTCTATTTTGAATTTTGTTTGGGAGGATGTATGCATCTGTGAATATACTCCCATGGGAATTATCTCAAAGTTCTTGATATACAGCCATGCAACTGAATTAGACATGAACTAGTAACCAACCTCACAGGGTTGTTGTGACAACAGACAGAGGAGCGGGAGAGCCATGTATATCACCTTGAGCTGCTGGGAGGTAAGTTGGGATATAAACGTAGTAATAAAATAAAACATCTAAAGGTTTATAATAAATTAGAGCATTAAGATCGCCTGTTAGAATTGCTAAAGCAATAGCCAAAGACAATAAAAGCAATCATGGCAATGTCAAAACGGCACCATTAAAAAAAAAAAAAGCCTGAAAAGATTAAAAATAGATAAAATATAAAACAGCAGTGAACAATTTTTAAAAAGCAACCGCTGGCTTTCTTTTAGCATTCCACTCTCCCAGTAACCTTGAAGAGGACGCACGTGTGTATTAATATGAAAACTAATTACTACAACAATGAATCTGAATGAAATATGTGAGATTGAATGGTGATTCTTTTATGAGGGCTATTTCAAGAGCTGCTCTGTTGTTCCAAAGCCTGTAGACAGCTAATTTATACCTCAGAGCCCCAATTTTATGTTGGGGCGAGGAATCATTTTAATTCAAATTCAAGCATCTTGATTTATTTCTACCAGAGACCAAATGATACATTTGTCTCTGGATGGCACACACTTAAATGACACAAATGAAAATGGAAATCAATATAAATGAGAGAGAGAATATGGGAGGAATTATTTGGAGAAGGCACTGATACACCACAGGTCAAGTAAGTTCAAGTCTTATGGGAGATGATGGAATCAGCAGGGTACTTTTGTACAGTGATACATTGGTTCTCAAACTTAATCCGTTCCGGAAGTCCATTCCAAAACCAAAGCGTTCCAAAACCAAAGCGTACTTTCTCATAGAAAGTAATGAAAAATGGATTTATCTGTTCCAGACTTTTAAAAGCAATCCCTAAAACAGCAATTTAATATGAATTTTACTATCTAACGAGACCACTGATCCATAAAATGAAAGCAATAAACAATGTACTGCAGTCACATAATCAATCAGTAGCTGAACTGTGTTCTACACAGTCACAAAAACAAACAAAAAAGAGCCGCAAAAACAAAAACGCAAAATAAATAGCAAAAACAGACAGACCTCATCATAACACCCAAACGGAAGTGTGGCACTCAAATCAGAAGCGTAACACTCAAAACAGAGCACGTTTGGCTTCTGAAAAATGTTCGCAAACCGGAAAGCTTACTTCTGGGTTTGCAGTGTTTGGGTTCCAAGTTGTTTGAGTACCAAGGCATTTAAGAACGAAGGTACATCTGTATTGCAATTTTTAAAAGAACTTCAGTTGATCTTTCTTTTGGAAGCTCAGCAGTAGTGATGCCAATCTAATCCCTGCAAAGCATGGAGTATTTGAAAAAGTGAAAACAGCAGCATGTTTTGTGGCATCTTAAAGGCTGACAAATTTATTAGCGCATTTTCAGGAACAACCATTCACTTCATCAGATATGTGAAATGTTATATTGAGTTATATGTACACATGGTAAGGGACGCGGGTGGCGCTGTGGGTTAAACCACAGAGCCTAGGGCTTGCTGTTCAGAAGGTCGGCTGTTCAAATCCCCACGACGGGGTGAGCTCCCTTTGCTCGGTCCCTGCTCCTGCCAACCTAGCAGTTTGAAAGCACGTCAAAGTGCAAGTAGATAAATAGGTACCGCTCTGGTGGGAAGGTAAACAGCGTTTCCGTGCACTGCTCTGGTTCGCCAGAAGTGGCTTAGTCATGCTGGCCACATGACCCGGAAGCTGTACGCCGGCTCCCTCGGCCAATAAAGCGAGATGAGTGCTGCAACCCCAGAGTTGGCCATGACTGGACCTAATGGACAGGGGGCCCTTTACATTTATACACATGGTGCAAAGGAAGGATAAACCGTGAGGTCAGAGGAAAACAAATGCAGAAAAGCACAGACAGTAATGATTATGTATCTAACATGGGTTGTTCACAAAACAGTTGTTTGTAGCACAGTCATCATAGCATTGGTAAGCCCATTAACACACGTAATGTGCAAAAGCATCCTTTGTCCCAGTTCATTCTACAAGTAATAGCACTAGACCTCTTGATATGTTATAATTCGGCACTTTCACATTGCATCTCATTCTGAAGGTCCTTTGCTCCAGGAAGGTCTTCCTCTGGGAGTACTAATTTCACTAGGTTTTTGAATAGTGCTCTTTCTGATTGGATTTGTGTCTACAGTGGTACCTCGGGTTAAGTACTTAATTCATTCCGGAGGTCCATTCTTAACCTGAAACTGTTCTTAATCTGAAGCACCACTTTAGTTAATGGGGCCTCCTGCTTCCGTGCCGCTGGAGCCCGATTTCTGTTCTTATCCTGAAGCAAAGTTCTTAACCTGAAGCACTATTTCTGGGTTAGTGGAGTGTGTAACTTGAAGCATATGTAACCTGAAGCGTATGTAACCCGAGGTACCACTGTATTCTTTTGAGTAAAGGCATTTGAGTAAAGGCATTTGTCGTATGCATTAGCACTCACTTATGAATGTATTAGGGACGCAGGTAGCGCTGTGGGTTAAACCACAGAGCCTAGGACTTGCCGATCAGTAGGTCGGTGGTTCGAATCCCCACGACGGGGTGAGCTCCCGTTGCTCGGTCCCTGCTCCTGCCAACCTAGCAGTTCGAAAGCATGTCAAAGTGGAAGTAGATAAATAGGTACCGCTCTGGCGGGAAGGTAAACGGCGTTTCCATGTGCTGGTCTGGTTCGCCAGAAGCGGCTTAGTCATGCTAGCCACATGACCCGGAAGCTGTACGCCAGCTCCCTTGGCCAATAAAGCGAGATGAGCGCCGCAACCCCAGAGTCTGGCACGACTGGACCTAATGGTCAGGGGTCCCTTTACCTTTACCTTTTATGAATGTATTAGCACCTGGTTGTGAACAACCACTGTTAATTATGCAATTCCTCCTGTAGAGCTCAACAACTTTGTCTGAATTTTCGCTTTGGGGAATATGGCAACCCTGGCATTTATGTTTCCCCTTATTTCATTGTTTACAACCTCCCCACCACCACCAAAATATAATTATATATACATGATCCTAATAACCCTTCATGCATCTGACAGACTGCAGTTCACAAAAGCTGTTGCCATAATAAATTTGCTAGTCTTTAAAGTGCCACCTTGCTGTTTGCTGCATGAGACTAACACGGCTATCCCTCTGGAAAGGGAATAAATTGCTGATCTTTGGAGCATTGTAAATTTGTTCGACTCCTCTGTCTAAGGAGATACAGCCCCTTCAGTGCCAGCTGAAGGCAGTCTCCATGGAAACATCCAAAGGGAGAATACTTCATCTAGTGGCTACCAACACAACAAATTTTGCTTGCTTTGCTCACGTGAGGATATATTTGCCTAAATGAAATAAAGCTATGAACCTCCTTTGCCTGTTCCATAGGCTGCATTCTGCGCCCAGGTTCAGATTTCTGGCCACAATCCAGAGCAGGGTGCCTAAACGGTCTTCTGACGTTACTTTATGAGCATCAGAATAGCTGTGGCATTTGTAGGGCTGTCATACATCCGGGTTTTCCTGGACACATCTGGGAATCGGGCAGCAAAATGGCGCCCTGGGAAGATTTTTGCCGAATCAGAAAAACTGTCTGGGGAAAACTGGACATGTGGCAAGTAGGGTGATTTTTTTTAAAAAAAATGCTTTAAAAGCCTAGAAAAGCCCCCCAATTTTTTTTAAAAAATTTTTTTTGGGCGGGGGGACATGTTCCCCAGAAGATCTCAACAACTTTGGCCAGATTTTTCATTTGCCTTCCTTGGACCAAAGTGTTGATGTCAGAAACCCATGTCATTGGAAATATATTCATCTCTCTCTCTCTCTCTCTCTCTCTCTCTCTCTCTCTCTCTCTCTCTCATCTATCTCTCTATAGAGTGGTACCTCGGGTTACAGACGCTTCAGGTTACAGACTCCGCTAACCCAGAAATAGTACCTCGGGTTAAGAACTTTGCTTCAGGATGAGAACAGAAATCGCGCGGCGACAGCAGGAGGCCCCATTAGCTGAAGTGGTACCTCAGGTGAAGAACAGTTTCAGGTTAAGAACAGGCCTCCAGAACGAATTAAGTTCTTAACCCGAGGTACCACTGTATCTATCATCTATCTATCTAACTAACTAACTATCATCTATCTATCTATCTATCTATCTATCTATCTATCTATCACCTATCTATCTATCTCACACTCTCTCAGGAAAAGGCAGCAACGCTATGCGTTCAGAAGGCAGGTGAGTACTGCTGCCCCATATGTGCTTGCCCCACCAACTGCTGCTGAATCCACAGCTTAGTCTGGGAGGTGCTCATCAGGTCAATTCATACTGGAATCTGCAAATACAGAATTCTCCTATCATCCCTTGAGAAAAGTGACATGAACCGTCATGAATGAATGCAGATCAGAGACAAGGAAAGGAAATCTGAGGACAGGAACATACCAGGGTTGCCGGGTTGCCATATTTCAAAAAGTGAAAATCTGAACGGAAAAGTTGTTGATCTTTTGCTAGTTTTTGCCAAAGGTGATGAGCAAAGAAGTTAGACATTTTTGAGCCATCGGCAAAAGCAACACTGGCGACATGGGCTGCTGTACGCCCGGATTTTCTCGGACGTTCCGCCGATTTCCACCCAGACACTGCTTGCAGTTGCAGTATTCCGGATATGTCTGGGAAAGTCTGGACGTGTGGCAACCCTAGGAACACACACACACACACACACACACACACAGGATAAAAAAAAATCAGTATCATTTCCAACTGGATAGGTGTTCCAGGGTGGATAAAGAAGCCTTTTCTAGGTCAGTATTTTGAGTAGGCCACCCAAGATGTTGCAAAATAGCTGGCAAAGCTTTCAAATTGTCTACAATTCATCATCAAGCCAGATGGCGAAAAAAGGAGCAGGTAGAAGTGGAGATGGGGGGGAGAAAACATTGCCTGATGGTGAAGCCATAACGTTCCTCTTTCATCTGCTTCTCTCTGTCAGAGATTCGTTTATTTCTGAGTTTCTCGCTTTGCAAAATAGAAACCGAGGATTTCTAGAAGCACCTTGGCGAAAATGCGAAGAGGCGTTCCAAACTGTTATAGGCAATAAATATTTGATGCCCTGTTAGGAAGGAAGCCAGCAAGGAAGGAAGGAAGGAAGAGCTGGATACGCTTAGCGAGAAAGGAGTGTAAATCTCGGCCATCCTTTTCCCACAAGAGCACATGCCAATGTTAGTTTATGTTTCAGTGAAATGAAGCTGCCTTCAGAGAGACCCACAGCGGGACTTTTTAACAGCGAAAAGCAAGCCGCCTGCACTGTAACAGTAACATTAAACCATTTGCTTTAATAGGCCAGGAGCTCCATCTCTGCTTATAAAGCAGTTCTGAAACTGCCGCGTTGGCCTTTGGCAGTTCAGATGGCAAAGAGCTCAGAGGAAAAACATTCTCAACATACTGAGGCATGATTGCTTCTTTGGAGATAGAAGAACTGTTTAACCCTGGTCTTGTTAGCGTTTGACAGAAGTGATATGGCCAAGGCTTTCTGGCAGAAGGGACAATATAGAGGAACTGAATTTTGTAGGCTCACTCACCATGTAAACATCCCTTACTTGAATATGTGGGAAATACTGCAAGAATCAAACACTAGATTTCTTTCTCATCAGTGTCATTTATGCTCCTCTTAAGATGGCTTCAAAATAGAACAATGACACATTTTTATGAGAGCCTGAGGAAGCTACATGGGAGTTGACATTTCTGACCATTTCTGCTTGCAGATGTTACCTGCAAAATCTATATGCAAGCCTTTTGTTCTGCATGCAATAGCTTTGACATGTATTGATTCTTCATGGGTATTAAGTCGCTAAAGGTGAATTCACCCATGGACAATCCACTGACTGGGGCAGCATCAAGAGATACACGTATTAAAAATCATCAGTTATATGAAATGTTTAAAACAGACAGGAAAATGGTTTTTTTGGACCAAAGTTTTTGATTTGAAAAAGAACTTTTACAAAACAAAGAAAAACTCTTATCTAAAATGTACAATCTGTTATTCGAATGGGAAACAAAAGATGAGCTTGTTAGCACTTCCATGATACAATGGGCATTAGATGTAGGACATAATATAGATTTCAATCTCTGGGGGAAATTATGGAAGAGTGATTTGAAGTTCACAGCATGTTATTCCTTGAAAGACTTACAGGTAGTTCTCTTTCAAGGAATAACATGCTCCGAGTAGACTTGCTAAAATGTATAAGACTGAATCAGTTAAGTGCTGGAGATGCAATGAGGCTGAGGGTACGTTCTACCATATGTGGTAGATAGGTAAAAGATAGAGAGGTAGGGTAAAAGAGTATTGGGAAATGATTTATAATGAATTGGAAAAAATGTTTTAATGTACTTTCCCCCAAAACCCCAGAGACCTTTCTGTTGGGGATAATTCAGATGGAAACTCCCAGGTGTCAAAAAACATTATTTATGTATGCCATTACTGCGGCTTGGGTTTTGTTAGCCCCAAAATGGAAAATGAGTGAGGTCCCAGCTAAAGAAGAATGGCAACTTAAACTGATGGAATACACACAGCTCGCAGATTTAACTTATAGAATAAGAGAACAAGAAGAATATACGTTTAAAGAAGATTGGAAAACTTTTACTAAATATATGGGTGGAAACTGTGTACATTTGAAAACGTTGGCAGCATTAAGATAAATTCAACAGTGTAAATAAGTGTTGATGGATGTAAAACTGGAATAATGAATGGTTTCCTTTATGTAAAATATGCAGGGATCTAAGGCATGCAAAAATGAACCATGGACGGAGAAGAAGGGAAATCACTGATATTTTAAGGTTGTTCAAATGAATATTCTAAAATGTAAAATATAAAAACAATAAAAAAATTATACAAAAAAGGTGTCCGCTGCATATTTTAAAATGCACAGCAAACCAGGGTCAAAAGTGAACCTTCAAAATACAACATTGCCCGACTGACTCCAAACTGGTGCCAAAGTTTTGAGCCAGTTTTGTGCCATTTTGTGTCACAAATCCCATGTCTTGCACTGCCCCTCAAACTGGGTAATTGACATGCAAACTGGGGGGGGAGGCAATAGGGGCTCCAAAATTTAGGGGTCACACGTTAATGAAACTAGATTCACCTATCCCCAGAAAGGAGTCACCACCAGGAATTGGAGTGCTACACAGAGTCGATCGGTATGGCGTGTGTGTCTAGGATGCTCCCATCTAGACCTCAAAATTGGAAAGAAGTGTGCCAATTAACTGCATAGGAATTAGCAAGGGCTCCTGATGAATGGCTGTGATGAGAATTTGTTAGCCACTTTTGTTTCCATCATCACAGTTGTCGCTGGAAAGAAATGTAAATCTGCTTACTCAAAGATTTAATTTATCTCCTAGACAAAATGCACGGGGAAATATATAATTAGGAACATCTTTACCACAAAAAGGATGCGCAGGGAGCAAGATTCTGGAGCGGTTTGAATTTGCTCTTTTTGAAGGAGGAAACACTCTATCTGTCTTCTTTTCCAACCACTTCCCCATGAATGTTTGCTTTAAATACACATACATTTTAAACATCCATCAGCATCGTCACAGATATCTCCATTCTGCCACTGAATTCCTCAAATGCTGTTTCAGGAAATACAAATTAAATGATCGCGTCATCATAGATATAAGTCATGGTGCTCAATTCTAACCCAGTTCACAGCTTGCAATTTACCTGGGGAAAGCATGGGTGATCCGTAGCAAATATGTATATAGTGGTACCTCAGGATATAAACGTTTCGGGTTACAAACTCTGCTAACCCGGAAGTAGTACCTCAGGTTACAACTTTGCCCCAGGATGAGAACAGAAATTGCGCGCCAGCAGCGTAGTGGCAGCGGGAGGCCCCATTAGCAAAAGCGCACCTCAGGTTAAGAACGGTTTTGGGTTGAGAACGGACCTCCGGAACGAATTAAGTTCATAACCCAAGGTACCACTGTACTGAATTTCTATTGCACATACTTTGTCTTTACAACAGCCCTGAAAGGTAGGTCAGTGACATTTGACTCATATTGCTTCACAGGTGAAACTGGCAGACAGTATGGAAGAATGAGGAAACCCCGACAAAAGAACAGTGGCAAGAGAAATTGATGAACTATGCAGAACTGGCTAAATTGACATACAGTGGTACCTCGGGTTAAGTACTTAATTCGTTCCAGAGGTCTGTACTTAACCTGAAACTGTTCTTAACCTGAAGCACCACTTTAGCTAATGGGGCCTCCCGCTGCTGCTGCGCCGTCGGAGCACGATTTCTGTTCTCATCCTGAAGCAAAGTTCTTAACCTGAAGCACTGTTTCTGGGTTAGCGGAGTCTGTAACCTGAAGTGTATGTAACCTCAAGCGTATGTAACCTGAGGTACCACTGTACAAATTGCGAGATAAGGACAACTGTGACTTCAAAGACGAATGGGAACTTTTTACAAATTACTTGAAAAGACAACAAAATGAACTGGACTCCTTGGCAGGTTTTGAATAAACATACACAAATTTATTGATTGTTAGCATAGTTGATAAATAATATAAGGATTTATACAATTTTACAGTATGCAGAGAACAATATGAGTTGAGAAATCAGAGAGAGGAGCCGAGAGAAGTCTTGAGGGGAGAGGGAGGGAGGGTTTGATGGGGAGATGGGGGGGAAGGGGAAAATAATGAATATGAGACGTTTTGATATTTTGTTATGCTGAAATTGTTGTTAATAAATTAAAAAAGAAAGAAAGAAAGAAAGAAAGAAAGAAAGAAAGAAAGAAAGAAAGAAAGAAACTGACAGACAGTGGCTTGCTGAGGCTTTCCTGTCTTAACCACCACATCAGAGTAGCTCCATGGTACAGTTTAATTTTGCTGTGGTTCTTTGTATTGCAGAAACGCAAGATTTAACACCGCGGGGTCCCTTCCAACTCTACAACTCTATGATTCTATTAATGCAGTGTGTTCTGGATCAGGGCAGGTGAGTGAAACCCAGATGTGTTGATGTCATTTGTGCTACTGTACCGCCAGACCAAATGTATTATTTTTTATTCTTTGGTCTTTATCCAATAAAAGCAGCACTCAGGACTTCTGGCAGTGCCTGATTTAGGGCAGTTCTCACATGCAGGCTGCCGAGCTGAAGGGGCGCAACATTGAGAAGATCCATAATTGAGAAGATCCATTTGGGGGCACCAAATTTTGGTCCCGCACAGGGTGCTGCCATATTGCAAAATGTCAACTAAGTCTACCCTTGCTTCTTGATTTTGCCAACTGCATTTCTGTGGTAGAAGAAGAGTTTGGATTTGATATCCCACTTTATCACTACCCTAAGGAGTCTCAAAGTGGCTAACATTCTCCTTTCCCTTCCTCCCCCACAACAAACACTCTGTGAGGTGAGTGAGGCTGAGAGACTTCAGAGAAGTGTGACTGGCCCAAAGTCACCCAGCAGCTGCATGTGGAGGAGCGGAGACGCAAACCCGGTTCACCAGATTACGAGTCTACCGCTCTTAACCACCACACCACACTGGCCTTGTGGTTAGGGTTTGTATCTGTTTTGCAGAACAGAAACATTTTGAGATAGCCTGAATTCCATAGCGGCAGCATACTTCCATAGAGGCCTACACTATGTGCAAGAAGAGGACTGGGAAAAATAAATGTCCCCTATTCAGGCGACATCTAGGAGCAAACAACTAAATGGAACCTGGCCCTAGGGGATAATTTCCATTTCAGCAATATATGTCCTTCCTGAAATGATAAGCTGCTTCTGGAGAAGGTCTGTGTCCCCTAAGATTTAAAAAGACCCATTTAATTAGACAAAAGAAACTGCTAAACAATAGCAGGATTCAGTTACTACTGCATTTCTACACAATTACATTGGTAAATCTTATTTCATGACTGAGGAGTGAGGAATGGAGAAAACATTTATAGCTCCACTCAGGTTAGGATAAAAACCAGGACACCCCGAAAGTTGTTAAGACGCCAAATTTGTTGAGCTTTTCTTTTAAAGGAAACCACTGAAATTGACATATGGCAGCCCTAAAAGTTACATCTTCAACCTGAATGTCACTTAATTCCATACTCTCTAAGTTTTCTCCTATGGAAATAGGGATGTCCTAAGGAAAAACAAGGGACATGGGTGGTGCTGGGGTTAAACCACAGACCCTAGGACTTGCTGATCAGAAGTTTGGCGGTTCGAATCCCAGCAATGGGGTGAGCTCTCATTGCTCGGTCCCTGCTCCTGCCAACCTAGCAGTTCGAAAGCACGTCAAGTGCAAGTAGATAAATAGGTACCACTCCGGCGGGAAGGTAAACGGCGTTGCCGTGTGCTGCTCTGGTTCGCCAGAAGCGGCTTAGTCATGCTGGCCACATGACCCGGAAGCTGTATGCCGGCTCCCTCGGCCAATAAAGCAAGTTGAGCGCCGCAACCCCAGACCTAATGGTCAGGGGCCCGTTTACCTTTACCTAACCAATGAGGCTATTGGTATCCTATGTGCCAATGCTGGATCAAGAAAACTCCCAGGTTAAACACCTGCTTCTTCAAGGGCAAAGCAATTTGTTCTATAATGGGCCATCTACCCAGACACAGGAACCACCTACCAACATCTATCTATCTATCTATCTATCTATCTATCTATCTATCTATCTACAGTGGTACCTCAGGTTACATACGCTTTAGGTTACAGACTCCGCTAACCCAGAAATAGTGCTTCAGGTTAAGAACTTTGCTTCAGGATGAGAACAGAAATCGTGCTCCGGTGGTGCGGCAGCATCAGGAGGCTCCATTAACTAAAGTGGTGCTTCAGGTTAAGAACAGTTTCAGGTTAAGAACGGACCTCCAGAACCAATTAAGTACTTAACCTGAGGTACCACTGTATCTATCTATCTCCTTTTTTGCCATAAAAGTGCATCATATACATGGATCCAATCACAACATAGTAGGAGATACTTTAGATAAAACTGTCCAGACATCCTGAGGTACAAAGATACGTAACTTCTTTTGGAACAAGACGGAGATAGACTGAAATTGCAGAGTTTTGAAAAATTAAAAAACAAAGTGCGAGACTGGCTTCATTATTATCAAATAATGGAGGTATTTAAATTGGACAGGAAAATTGGCTTCCAGGTGGAAAGATCCAAATTAGAAACAGAATTGTTAGAACCCAATACTAAGAACTTGTCAAGAATGTATAACTTGCTGCTGAAATGGAATACTCAAGATGAAACGGTAAAATCGGCTATGATTAAATGGGCACAGGACGTTGGTCATAACATTATGTTTGCTGACTGGGAACAGTTATGGACCACAGGTATGAAATTTACGGCATGTAATGCCTTAAGAGAGAATATTATGAAAATGATATACAGGTGGTACATAACCCCAGTCAAGCTTGCGAAAATCTATCACTTGCCCGATAACAAATGTTGGAAATGTAAAGAAACTGAAGGTACATTTTTTCACCTTTGGTGGACGTGCCCAAAGATTAAGGCTTTCTGGGAAATGATATATAATGAATTAAAAAAGGTATTTAAGTATACCTTCCCTAAGAAACCAGAGGCCTTTCTCCTGGGCATAGTCGGCCAAATGGTGTTAAAAAGGATAGAACTTTCTTTATGTATGCAACAACAGCAGCAAGAATACTCATCGCAAAGTATTGGAAGACACAAGAACTTCCCATGCTGGAGGAATGGCAGATGAAACTTATGGACTATATGGAATTGGCGGAAATGACTGGTAGAATCCGTGACCAGGGAGAAGAGTCGATGGAGGAAGACTGGAAGAAATTCAAAGACTATCTTCAGAAACACTGCAAAATTAAGGAATATTAGAGTGATGTTGGACTGAAAACAAGTGGTTTCCAGCTGTACAGGTTAAAGTTAAGGATAGATTAAGATTAAAGATCAAGATTAAAGATGTTTAAAGAAATGGAAATTTGATAATAAAAGGGAAAAATTTAAAGTTGTATGACATTAAGATCAAGGATTAGGTTTAAAAAAAAAAGTTGAAGTTATATATTTTAATGCTTTATTAAATTAAAGATTGGGATTAAAAAAGTGGAAAAGAAACTGCTGGACAAACAATGTAGATTGGAATACAAAAGAGGGAGGTATGAGGAAGTCCAGAAAATAAGTAATTTAAAATTGGAAATGGAAAAGAGAGTTTGTTTTTAATTGTTATGTTTTGTGTTTTTATTGTTAAGTTTTGTATTGTTTTCTGTGTGTGTTGTTTTTCTTTTTTTTGTTTGTTTAAAAATTTAATTAAAAATTATTGAAAACAAACAAACAAACAAACAAACAAAGATACGTAACTTCATAGTATCACTCAAAAATCTTGACACATTCTCCATGCCATTACTACAATCATTCACACTTATTGTTTTTTATTATTTATTCAACTTATACACCACCCTATACCCGGAGGTCTCAGGGTGGTTCACAACAAGACCACAACATATTAAATCAAACCAAAAGCAGTAACCCAATAACCTCCCCCCAAAAAAACACATTTTAAAAGGGTATGGGATGTTGATCAGGTCAACCAAAGGCCTGGTTAAAAAGGAACGTTTTTGCCTGGTGCCTAAATGTGTATAATGAAGGTGCCAGGCAAACGTCCCTGGGGAGAGCATTCCACAGATGGGAAGCCACTGCAGAGAAGGCCTGTTAAAATGTGAGAAATGGGACTCACAGTCCTCTCCTGATCTACATCCCTAAACTGGTTTGAACATTCACGACTCAAAGTTCAAGATGCATTCACTTTCCTAGGCATATCATTATGGGTATCCTGTGAAGAGAGTGCTTGAATACTGTAGCCAGAATAGCACCCTCTGAATATTATAAGACAATTCTCATCATCTCATTGAAAGAGGTGGGTTTGCTTAATGTGGAGAAGGGAGGTTTAAAAGGGAAACATCAAATACCAAATACTAAATACTAATATTACTATGGAAGGAACATCAGCATAATGAAGGGTTTTGTACCTTGGCTGTCCTTTGAAAGATGGGCCTTGGGAAGCAGGAAGGAGAGGAAGACAATGCAAGATATTACCTTTTCCAGAGGGCATGCTTAATGCTCCCATGGTGAGTTATCAAGTGACTACTGTGTCACTAGCCGAAAAAGAACGCCCTTTTCCAAGGCGTGACATCTTATTAGTTTTCCTTTTCTGAAAGTGTAAGCAGAATCCACAGTCACTTCCCTTCACTGCTACAAAACAGTGGGTGGAGTCATAAAGATGCCCAGAAGGGCTGGCTGAAGCATTTAAATTATTCCTGATCTAAATCTTTTAAATGTTCCCTAAGACTGCCATGGAGCATTACCAGCACAGAATGCAGATGCTGATGAGAAAGTCTACTTACATCTCCATCCACTTTCTCTCCCACTCCCTGACTGATCAAACCAAAGGAGATTGCTATGCCTCTAGAGCCCTAGTGACCAAGGAGCCAGCAGAGGGAGGTGTCACAATGAAGGGCGTGTCACAAGGACTTCCGCAATCTAGCAACCACCAGCACTCAACTGACACTGCTCTCAACTGACACTACTATGTTCAGCTTTTTACAAGTATGTAAAATGAAAACTATCCCTTTATATTCAAGCTTCCATTGTTCCTGCACCTACTGAGCCTTAGCTATCTAATCTATCTAATCTGCCTCTCTGCCTCTCTGGTGCAACTGCCACAAACGAAAAGGCTATGAAAAGGGCCCCCTGTGTTTGAAAATTCACAAAGTGCTCCATTGCAGCTCAACAGCAGCCCTTTCCTTCTTTTCAGTGTTGTCCTATATTGCAGAACAGTGGAAAACTAGAGATCACCTCCTGGTTGTTAATTCATGCTAATACCCTCCTTCATCAGCAGGTCCCAGGGCAAGTTACAGCCATCTAAAATTATTATTGTTGTTATTAATTAAATTTGTATACTGCCCTATACCCACAGGTTTCAGGGCAGTTCACAGGATAAGATCACAATATAAAAATACAAATACGTAATAAAAACAAAAACAACCCAATAACACCCCCCAACACATTTTAAAAGGACATTGGATGTCTATAATGGTATGGGGTTGCTTGTGCGTAAGTTGCCGCCTCTCCTGGCTATGTTGCCTTGTTAAACCTTTCTGTCTGGACAGCCCTTCAATTTGTGGCTGCCTCAGTCGCTAGCAGAATCCGTCAGTGGGCGTTTCTCAAACCTTTTCCAACATAAAAGTTGTTTGACACCCAGTCTCCTCCTACTTTCTCTGCGCGGAAGTCTTCTGCGCAGGGAGGGCGTGGGTAGCGGAGGACCAGTGCTCTCCCCGCTGGTGTCCGGTGAAGAGTCTGGGAGCCCTCTCGCCGATTCCCCATCTGCCCCTCCTTATTCCTGGTGTTGCACTGAATTGCTTCCCCATCTGCTGAGCTGCCTCTCTCCCTGCTGGGCCCTTCTCCAGCATCATTAGAGAGCCTTCCCTCCACCTCTAGCTGCGATGTCAGTTCCCTGACAATGTCAATCAGATTGACCAAAGGCCTGTTTAAAAAGGAACATTTTTGCCTGGCATCTAAAGGTGTACAATGAAGGCACCAGGCAAACTTTCCTGGGGAGAGCATTCCACAGATGGGGAGCCACTGCAGAGAAGGCCTGTTTGTGTTGCCACCCTCCAAACCTCTGGTGTTGCCACTCTCCAGACCTCACTTACCAATATGACATTGCATTCATTGTGCTGTGAATAATAATGGCAGCTCCTTGGTTCTGTGAGGCAATTGCCCTACAAAGTGCCATATTCATGGAAACTAGGGAGCATTTGATTAGGGCTTCGCACTGAAAGTCTTGGCATGTTGCAAAAAAAGAGCTGAAAAGATTAAAATTAAAGTTAGGTATTGCTTGAAACATTTGCCTCCGCTGTAAAAATGAAATCGAATGAAATTGATCTTGTGAAATAGGTTGGCCGCATCTGATATCTATGATTCTTATTTTTGTAATTAAATGTAATAGAAAAAATACTTTGTTCCTATGAAGTAAGATTATTTGGCAGCATTTCGTTTGCACACAAACACGGTACAAACTTTGCATTTAGTTCAGGGAGAAAATGGAGACTTAACAATGACAAATGGCAATAATATATCAGGATCTGATTTACAAACCTTACAGGTTTTAAATTCTGATGTGTTTCACTTCATCTCTCAGCCTGTAGCAAATGGCTTTTTCCAATATTAATGAGGAAAAAACACATTATGAACAAACTGTGAACATGCTGAAACTAAGGGAAATTAATGTTCCTTTTTCATAAGCAATCAACAACATAATTATCTCTTTCATGGCTTATTGTTTTTGGTACAACAAGTATAAATGAAGGGTTTTCAATGGCCTTTCTTGTAAAGAAACAGGAATATTCCCCCCTCCAGTGATTTCAGGAAATTTTAAAAATGTTAGCAAAATTTAAAGAATTATAGTATCTGTGGGGAAATGTAACATGAGATGTGAGAATAAGAGTCACAACATAATAAGCACATATTACCAAATTCTGTAACGTTATCCCCATCAGAAGAATTCCTGCTGTTTTGTGGACTGTCGTTTTTTTAAAAAAGTCTGAGGCAATGGAAGAAATTGATAGCATGTGTTTTTCAGCATGATTTAACCAGTTAAATCCAGGACATTTGCCCGATTTCCGAAAAATAATCCATGACGCCATTTTCGCAGGCAGATTCCAGGACCTGTCCTGGATAATCAGGATGAATGACAGCCCTACCTTTGCACATGAAGGAGATTGAAAGCTCCTAGTCACAGTTTGCATCAAACTGCAGTGCCCTGTTTCATTTGAATCCAGGAAATGATGGTTTGTACAAATCCTGCTGGGTTCACAAACCGGCTTACTGAACCAGGATTTGATATTGCCAAGCAACCGTCATATGCTCAAACCACAGTTTCTTATATTTGGATGAAACTGAAAATGGCTGTTTGTTACAAATCGCGCCCCTAGAGATTTTAATCTCTTCTCTTTTTTTTTAAAAAAATATTTTTATGGTTTTTAACATACAAAATTATAAAACATACCACACAATTTATCACAAATACATTCTTATTGGACTTCCATCAGCACCTCTGATAATCCTCTGTCTTAATCACTTCTTACGCATTTCCTAATATTGCTTTTACATCTCTTAACATATCACGTCTCCTTCTCCATTTTTGCAATATTTCTAATATTATTCCTCACAGAACTTCTTGCAAACCTACAAAAGTCGTCTGGTTGTCACAAATGCTTGTCAAATAATCCGTAAATTTACTCCAGTCCTCGGTAAACTTCTGGTCCCGCCAGTTTCGGATCCTTCCCGTTAGTTTATCAAGTTCCGCATAGTCCAGTAATTTCATCCTCCATTCTTCCATCATTGGTAATTCTTCTTGCTTCCATTTTTGGGCCAATAGTATTCTTGCTGCTGTTACTGCATATAGAAAAAGCTTACATTCCTTTCTATTTATATCATTTCCAAAAATACCCAAGAGAAATGCTTCTGGTTTCTTTATAAATGTATATTTCAACATTTTTTTCAACTCATTATATATCGTCTCCCAGAAGCATTTCACCTTTTAATCTCTTCTCACACAAGAAGAAGATGGCAAAAGGAAGGGAGCGTGTGAGCCCAATGTCACCATAGTGTGTTTACACAATGTTTTACCAGGGTTTGAGCACAGAGTTTCCCAAACTCGAGTCTCCGTGTGTGTTTTTTGGACTACAATTCCCATTATCCCTAGCTTGCAGGACCAGTGTTCCAAACACAGCTAGAAACCCAAGTTTGGGAAAGCCTGGTTTAGCATTATATCTACATGCAGCTGCGCCTTTGAAGAAGCAAGTAGCTGTTCGGTTTAAAATACAGATTGCCTCTTCAAAAGCTTCTTCTTGTCTACGCACAAGGTACATGTGATTTTTCCACAGGGTAGAGATATACGAGGAGGAAATTGCGTCTGGTGTGGTGGCTGCCGAGGTATTTTTTTAAAAACCGTTATGGATTTTGGAATTCATGAACAACAATTTAAACCAGTGTGGCTTTAGAGAAAGGTGTTTTCACATTGTTCCTTGTAACCTGAATCAATATGCTAGTTTGGGGACATTTAACCAGATGTTGACTTGATGATCTGTGACTGCACTGAGTGAGCAATAGAACAATTCCTTGCTGATACTAAGCAAAAGAGAAATTCCTCTGGAAGCATCTGGCAAGTTGTGAGAAGGTTACATAACAGAAAACTGCCTCAGGTCATACATACTGAATTTCTATTTCATTACATAAAAAGCAAAGGATCATCCTACACCGTGATTTGCAGGTCCTTCTGGGCCATTGTCCTTGTTTGGAAACATTTAGGTCTCTCTTCTACTTCTTATTTTTTTAAAGCATGTTTGAGGGAGTCTGAGGTTTGCGTCTCAGAAAGTCATGAGCACAATAAAAATGCTTTATAGTTTTCAGCAGGCACTGGGCTACCTTCAGCCATGATCTGTTTTAAGCCACAGGAAAACAGCTCGGAAAGAGATGATGTGCCTCGTAAAATAATTTTAGGAGTCCTGATTTTGCTGTATCTCCTCCAGTTGACATAGGTCTGTGCTTAACTCTGCCTCTGAAATCCAAATACATTCGGATTGCCATATGTCTGCAATTTTCTGAACGTACCCGGAATACCGCAGTCAGATGCAGTGTCCGAGCGGAAATCGGCAAAATGTCCAAGAAAATCTGAACATAGGGCAACCTATGTTGGCAATGTAGTTTCTGCCGATTTCCCTTAAGAATACAGTGGTACCTCGGGTTACATACGCTTCAGGTTACATATGCTTCAGGTTACAGACTCCGCTAACCCAGAAATAGTGCTTCAGGTTAAGAACTTTGCTTCAGGATAAGAACAGAAATTGGGCTCCAGCAGCGCGGCGGCAGCAGGAGGCCCCATTAGCTAAAGTGGTGCTTCAGGTTAAGAACAGTTTCAGGTTAAGAACGGACCTCCGGAACAAATTAAGTACTTAACCCGAGGTACCACTGTAGCTCAAGAAGTCAGTTTTTTTTGTGATTTTGCCAAAAAAAACTCAACAAAAAACCCTTTTCACTTTTGGAAATATGGCAACCCCAAAATATATAGATTTTTCTTATTAGTCATAGGCACGTGATTTTTATAAGGCTGAAATACGCACACCACCATTTTAATAAGAAATTACATGCCCTGTTTGCTTAAGATCTGGCTTAATCTGCTTCTTCTTTAAGAACAGAACAACAAAAGGCTCAGAGCATATTGCAAATACCGTACTTTAGCTTTGTTCTATACACAAGCTCTCCAGTGGCAAAGTAGAGAGAAAAACTAAGCAACTAAGAAGATGTGCTAACTAGGCTATAAGGAATTTTTCCTCTTCCAGTACCATGTGGATCTCAAGGGGCTCTGAGCAGAAACAGGCAAAACAAGACAAGCATTATGTTAGCAACAAGAACAACAAAAATGAACTAAGCTTGGAAAATTGTGTCCTCCCTAAAAGAGGGCACGTGTTGCAGTGAGACCTGGAGACTGACCTCCCAGTTGTGGGTGGGTTTATTGGACAGTCACAACACCCGATTGGTAGGTCCCTCGTTGCTGGGTTTAATATGGCCAATGGGGTGCAGTCTAAACGGATTGAGGGACCTATATATACTTTTGCATGTGACCCTCTTTTGGCTCGTGCATCGGAACACCCGCCCACCTCTCCCTACTTTCAGGGCTTGTTGTGATTGACCTTGCTATGCTGTTGTGTGTTGTCTGTCGCTGAGACAGGGGCACAGCAGGAATTTTCCCCACTTGGCTGATTGGCTGTTGCCATTTGGGTTTCGCCTGCCGCATACCAAACCGTCACAACTTGTAAGGTTGCGGATAGGCACTGGTTCATGTGATAGGGATGGGAAAATGGACTCACCTTCCCTATGTGAAGGGTATTCTGTTAAAGGAATCCAGGGACTCGACCTAGTTTGGCCAACCCCTGAAAGGGGGTTGTGCCCATGCCTGAATCCAGGGGAGCATCTGGGGAGTGAACAGAGTCTGTTCCTGGGCTTTTCACCTACCTCAGGTATTCATGCTTGGCTGACCTATGCTGGTGCCCTGGGTCAGCGCTACCTGCAAAGGTGCAGGGAGCTAGTCGAACCAGAGCCTATGCAACCACTCACTTTTCTGTAATCAATAAAGTTGTAGCCTAAATTCTGCCAAAAACCAAAACTAAAATTTGAGTCAAATGTGTCTTTATTTAGGGGGGAGGTCTCTGGGTCTGAACATGCAAAAACAGAGAGAACTGATTCAGGGGAAAACCAGCTTCCAGTATTTTAAAATAAGCTCTCTTGCTCTCTCTCTCTCTCTCTCTCTCTCTCTCTCTGAAGGATCTCAGCTTAAAAGGTATCATTTTCAACAAGGGATGGAAGAATTCTTCTATTTCCAAGTCGGTTTTCCACCCAGCCAGTCGGGGGGTTACATTTCCTGTTCTTGTCTTGGTGTCGCTGCAGTCTTGACCACCCCAATTTCATTCCTGCTGGGATCTGATTCCCCCTGAGGGTTCCCTACAGGTTAACATGTTGTTGAAGTAGGACCCTGCAGCCTGCAGGACCGCACCCTCCGCTCACCAGCTACTCTCAACAGGAACCATTACGCAAAACTGGGCAACAGTATCTGCATGCATGTCTAAATCAGTGGCGTTTGCAATGGTTTGCTCCACTATCCTGATTCAAAATGGTGCCCAGTGGAATTGTGAAAGAAACAAGCTTCACTCTGTATCAATCTATCAGCTCAGAGCCACTGAGGGAGAAATTGCCGGGAGAAAAAACCCCCAAACCAACAGGGTTTCCCCTGACAGAGTTCTCTGTTAACCCACCGATACAGCTGAAATTTATAGTATTTCGAGGTTGTGAAACATCTACTCCTTCCTGATTAGACAGAAATGAGAAAAATGAAGAGATGCACAAAGAAATATGGTTATCAGCTTGTGCGAGGCCATTTGCACTTAAATCTTATTGAAATTCGCTCCTTCCCACCACCACCACCACCCATTGTCACATACACAATATTCATTCATCTTGGAAGGACTTGGGTTCGCCGTCTTCCACAGTATCAAGTATAGACCAAAAAGCACTTCTCCATTCTAGGAACCATTGTGCCCAAGTGTGCAAAGTGTGCAAAGTGTGCCAATCTGTGCAGTTTGGAATGGTTTGGCCCACCATCTTTGATCAAAACAGTGTCCAACAGTTCCCAAACGGCAGCAGCAGGAGGCCCCATTAGCTAAAGTGGTGCTTCAGGTTAAGAACAGTTTCAGGTTAAGAATGGACCTCCGGAACGAATTAAGTACTTAACCCAAGGTACCACTGTATGTCAATTTAGCCAGTTCTGCATAGTTCATCAATTTCTCTTGCCACTGTTCTTTTGTCGGGGTTTCCTCATTCTTCAGGGCTGATTTCCTTAAGAATGGATGCGTTTGATCTTCTTGCAGTCCATGGGACTCTCAAGAGTCTCCTCCAGCACCATAATTCAAAAGCATCAATTCTTCGGCGGTCAGCCTTCTTTATGGTCCAGCTCTCACTTCCATACATCACTACTGGGAAAACCATGGCTTTAACTATACGAACCTTTGTTGGCAAGGTGATGTCTCTGCTTTTTAAGATACTGTCTAGGTTTGCCATCGCCTTTCTCCCAAGGAGCAGGCGTCTTTTAATTTCGTGACTGCTGTCACCATCTGCAGTGATCATGGAGCCCAAGTGGAGAGTCAAAACTCTCCACTATGACCTGTCCATCTTGGGTGGCCCTGCACGGCATAGCTCATAGCTTCTCTGAGTTATTCAAGCCCCTTCGCAATGGCAAGGCAGTGATCCATGAAGGGGATTTAAAAATTAGAAAAATTAATTAAAATGATATATATATATTTTAAAAAAACAAATATTCACTCTTGGTAACTATTATGCCGAATTGGGCAATGGCTTCTGAATTGTCGTGATTTGGCATGTTTTTCTGTCTTGATTCAAATGGAGTCCGACAGAATCCAGAAATGGACCCAAACTGGTTTGTCCATCGTGCCAAACTGGGTGACAATTCCTTCGAGAACACACTGAGAACAGACATTTCCAAAATCAATAGTAGTTTCTTACAATTCGAGTTACATGAATGAATAACAAAAAGAGTGGCTTATGCTAATAACATGATGTCATGTTGATTCGGGGGCTACCAAATTAATAAATGCTAGAGAATAGACATGGGTGACTGTTACTGATAAAGGAGTGGGAATAAGATTGAGCCATATATTAGGAGCCTATCCAGCATTCTGACTGCTATTTCATCCGACGTGTGACTATGCCCAAAGACTATTTCTGAAGCTTGAGGAAAAATCTGAGATGGATTTGTATGCAGTTAATAAGAACTGAAAGTGCTGCGCTTTCTTGACAAACCACTCAATAAATATTTCAGGAATTTAATGTATTTGGCAAGGAAAGCAGAACTGTGGAATTTTATCAGTGGTGCAATGTGCCTGCAGACAGAGAACTCTTAATGTTTTTTTCAGCATTCGCAAAAACAAGAGGAATTTCATATGTCTAAGCACAAGTCTTTCGGACAGTCACTGCATAATTACATCCAGCATCTCAGTGATTCAGGGAGTTAGGGGCAAGCTATAATTTGAAATATTGCGGCCGCTGTACACAAGGAAAGGCTTGTGGCGATAATCATTGGCTAGGTCTGGGCTTCCCTGTGTGGCAACTCAGGTCAAGTTTTTTACTGTCTCTGGTTACGTACCTTTCAACATTTCACAGGTAAAAACAGGGACATGTTTGAAGTTGTTAACATTGCTATTCTTTACTAAGGATTGTTCTCTCTCTCTCTCTCTCTCTCTCTCTCTCTCTCTCACACACACACACATCTATTGAATTTATTTATTCTGCAATAGGGTTTCTGCAGTGTTTTAAAATCCAGTAAACTGAGGATTTGCTGGATGAAATATACTCAGAGTCGAGTGTGGATTTCATGCTCTTTATTCAGCTCATAGTAGTGAGGAGGAATGGAAGTCCCCCCAAAATATCTGCTTTATATACATTATTTACACAATAGGCCCCACTTGATTGGCTAATTCCGGGATTCTCCTGTAGGCCAATCAGGTTGCGGATTCACTTCCACCTTGAGCTGGATTGGGTGGCTCCTGCGGACCAATCAGACTGCTGCATTCTGGATCCTATTGTTCTAGGACCAAACAGACTGCTGCAATTTGGATCCTATTCAACTCAGTACATAACACTGGATTTTTTTACATTAAATATATGCCAGAAAAATTGCCAGAAAATTTGTCAGAATCCATCTCCATCTGGCCCAGAGATGGAAAGAAGACAAAGTCCCGATAAGGATGATGGACTACACCGAAATGGCAAAAATGACTGGAAAAATTAGAAACCAAGAAGATAGAAGCTTTAACAAGGAATGGGGGGGGGGGGGGGGAATTACAAGTTACCTAAGAGAACACTGCAAACAACTAAAAACTTTGGCCGGATTATAGCAACATTTGTAATGTAACAAGAACTGAGGTAAAAAATGGATTTTTAAGAAAAAAATGAGAAACTATATGATGCATTAGAAAAGGATTGACAATAGAACCCATGTAGGGGTGAAGGAAGTCTAAGGGTTCAGGGAATTCTGAATGTTCATGATTATGATTACTGTTTGAATTTAAATGTAAATTGTAAAACTGAATAAAAAAGTTAAAAAGAAAATCTGTCAGAATCTGATAAAGACAAGATGTCTGTATTATGTGGTCAGAGCTGTCCCTGACATTGAAACAAATGAGCAAGTGCCTCATCTCATGGGTTGCAATGGATCTTGTTTGTTCTCAGAATAATCCTGAAAATCAGGTCACTATGATACAATTTTATTCATTATATACACCTATATGGTCTGTCCAGAGCTACCTTGTGAGTGCACAGCCGAGGCAAAGTCTTTTTTATATAATTACTTTTTATTGGGATTTTTCAGCGTAAAATGCAGTAAAAACTGAACTAATCTAAAGAAGAGAGGTAAGAAAGAAACCGAGGGAAAAAATAAAAAAGGAAGAGAAGAGAGAAAGAGAAAATTTGGGGGTCTCCCTAAAAAAAAGAAAGCTGAACAACTTTTTGGGGGGTCCTGGTTTTTACTTTTGGAAATATGGCCAATCCTATCTTAAAATCATAATAAAAGTGCTCATTCTACGGCTGCTACAGTGGATTTAATTGTTTGGTTTTAATTAAGGATCCCCATGCAACATTCTTTACTGCAGACATTGCCTGATGGTAACTTACATTGCTGTGTTACAGAACGATCCATCAAAAATTAATCTCCAGAAGCAGCAGATTAGAACAGCCAAATCAAATGAAAGTTGCTTGGGAGTCACTGCTATATATCAGGCATGGCAAAGGATGCCTGTTCCCACAAAAGGCTATTCCTTTTCTGATTATTGTTATTTTGTTAGTACAAACCACCCCCCTCAAGCTGTCCAATTTGGCCTTGTGTAAAGATGCTTTTAGAAGGGATGTGGTTGGCGCTGTGGGTTAAACCACAGAGCTTAGGGCTTGCCGATCAGAAGGTCGGCGGTTCGAATCCCCGCGACGGGGTGAGCTCCCGTTGTTCAGTCCCTGCGCCTGCCAACCTAGCAGTTCGAAAGCACATTAAAGTGCAAGTAGATAAATAGGTACCACTCCGGCGGGAAGGAAAACGGCGTTTCCGTGCGCTGCTCTGGTTCGCCAGAAGTGGCTTAATCATGCTGGCCACATGACCCGAAAGTTGTACACCGGCTCCCTCGGCCAATAAAGCGAGATGAGCACCACAACCCCAGAGTCGTCTGCGACTGGACTTAATGGTCAGGGGTCCCTTTACCTTTTAAAAGATGTTTTACTATTTCATTATTAAATATTACATGGTAAAGCTCAAGAGTGATTTACTTCAGATAATTCAGTAGTTTCCTACCGATTTTCCACTATGATCTAAGTACAGAACCCATTATACAGAAATGACGTAACCTCCAACATTTCTCTGATGAAAATAGGGACAGCCTATTCAATAATAATAATAATAATAATAATAATACAGTGGTACCTCGGGTTACATACGCTTCAGGTTACACACTCTGCTAACCCAGAAATAGTGCTTCAGGTTAAGAACTTTGCTTCAGGATGAGAACAGAAATTGTGCTCTGGCGGCGTGGCGGCAGCAGGAGGCCCCATTAGCTAAAGTGGTGCTTCAGGTTAAGAACAGTTTCAGGTTAAGAACGGACCTCCGGAACGAATTAAGTACTTAACCTGAGGTACCACTGTAATGATTTTATTATTTATATCCCACCCATCAGAGTGGGTTGTCCCAGCCATTCTGGGCAGCTTCCAACATAAAGAAAAACATGATAAAATATCAAACATTTAAAAACTTCCCTATACAGGGCTGCCTTCAGATGTCTTCTGAAGGTTGTACAGTTATTTATCTCCTTGGCTCGGGGGTCACATAACTCCATACCCGCCAACATTTCT